CTTTCTGGCGAACAACGAAATCACGGCCCTTCCTCCAGAGTTTTTCAAGTTGAGTAATCTTACGGTACTTTCCCTCCGTGCGCACGTGCCTGGCTCCCTTTGTTTATTTCATGTACTGATACCATGAGGGCAGGCAACAACAACCTCGAGGATCTGCCCCCAGAAATTGCACAGCTACAGGCGCTCAAGGACCTCGACGTAGTCAATAACAATTTGCGTTTCCTCCCCGCAGAGATGACCACCATGACTTTGACCAACTTCAACGTCCACACGAACCCATGGCACCCAGACCCTGCCAAAGCTGCTCCTCAAGATGGGCCCAGAGCTGTGGACGGTAGCACGCGCGTGCACTTTCGCGTGCCGCCACTGCGCGAAGTGGTCCTACGGTACCTCCTCACGCCCTCAGCAAGCCAACGGGGGTGCCCTCCAACACCAAGAATGACTACGACGTCGTCGACCGCGAGCGCCGCCCGACAATCTACTACTACAACGCTCGAAGACTGCTTCCAGCTCCCGTTACAGGAAGGAGCGCTCACACCGACCGACGCCGCGCTCCTCGCGCGCCTCGCACCCTCCGCGGTCTCCGCCCCGCGGCGGCATGCCTTTTCGCGTGCTACGACCTCGGCCCCGGGTGCGGGCCTGTTCTCGTCCTCCGCTTCTGCCTCGTCCAAGTCGGAACGCGAGCGCGAGTTTGGGATTCGCGAAACCAGAGAGGGAGGAGGAAGGGGAGAGGGAGAGGGTGCAGCGCCCGCGAGGACCGTGACGCAGGAGCAGGAGCAGGGACAGAAGAGCTCTGGTCGCTGTCCGTCCCCGCGGCACGCGCTGGCAGGAGGGCCTTGGGCGTGGGCGCGCGTCGGGCCGCCCTTTGTCTTGCCTGCGGAGGAGCGGTACACGTGGGTGAGCGAGCTCGCGGGCGTGCGGGTTGGAGAGACGACGGGCGGGGTGCCGCTCTTGTGGCGCGGGTGCGGACGGGGTTGTCTCAACTTTTTGGACGAGGGCGAAGGTGCCGTCGCTCCTGCTGCGGGAGCACCAGCAGAAAATGACAGCGGTCGGAACGGGCGTGATGACGGTGGCGATGTCATGCTTATGGATGACTGAGTGGTGCCGTGAACCGCACCAGATGTGTATATTGTATCAGCAGAGCAAAATAGTCATCGTGCAATTGTATTGTAACACCCTCCGATTTAGTCTTACACGTGGTCGTCGACGGAAGGTTTGCACCCGTGCTTGGAAGGCCGGATTCGGTGTGCTCCTGCTCCTGACGAACGACGAAACCTTCTCGGGCAGTCTGTAACATTCAGCGTCCGATTTACTCTCATACGTGATTGTCGACGGAGCGTGCTCGGAATGCTGGATTGATTCGCTCTTATTGGTAGTCGTCGACGGAACGTTTGCACCCGTGCTCTGAGTCCTGCATGCCTCCGAGAAAATGTTGGCCAGATTCACTCTCATGAGGGCATCCTGTCTTTTTGGATTGCAAACATCATCAGCCTATCTATTTGAAGCCATCAAGGCCTTCACGTTCGGGGCGCAGCGCAGCGACTTGCCTGTTTTGAACTTACTCACCGAGGCATGGGTGAGCGAAGAGTGAGCTCAGGACCAGCCGTGCACAGAGGGACCCGCGCGGTGCCAACAGCAGCCCCATCTCGGGAATCCCAGGCAGTAACGTTCACCGTCCGATTCGCTCTCATACGTTGTCACTGACAGAATATTCGTTGTACCCCGTGCTGCGAGTGCTGAATTCAGTCTGCCTCCAATAAAATATTTTGCCGGCTGTTGCAAGTTGCGGCTCTCCGTTTCCGTAGTCGGTGGGCGTCGTGTCTGTGAGAGTCATCTTGCCCACTGCTGTGTTTTTTGCCGTTGCGTGTGGTCGGCGTCACCACTGTTGCGTCTCCGTCGTGTGTGGGGCAGGCGGGCATTGTCACACAGGCGGATGGACGTATGGGCAGTCTGTGCGGGCAGATGGGCGTGTGGGCGGGCGTGTCTGTCGTGCTGTGGCCGCGCTCCGTCGCCGTCTCATATGGTTGCTTTTTTGCCACTGTTGCCAGTGGGGCACGCAGGTAGGTGTGTGGGGTGCAGATAGGTGTGCGGCGGCGAGGCGGGCGGGCTGAAACCACGTGGTGGGTGGTTGAAATGCGCAGGCGGGCGGGCAGATTGAAACAGGCATGCGGGCAAGTCAACGCATGCACGCGCGCGCGCGCGCAGATGGGCAGGCGAGCGGGCGGGTAGACAGGGTAAACCACACGTGTGTGTGGACGTGCGGCTAGGAGTGCCAGGCAGGTAAACCTGCTTAAATCCTGGATATCCAGAAGATGGCGGGTGGCGAATGTAACAGGGCGGAGCTCAGACATCACGTGCTTCAAAAATAGAGATAACTTGAATTGGGCCATCGCGGCGGCAATTCCGCGTACCCAGGGTTTTTTCGCTATGGAACCCAAAATGGTCCCCACAGTTTTCTAACATGGAGCTAGGTGGATTATGTCCAATTTGTGAACACTGTATTTGTCAATCAAAGTCGACATGACGCTTGCATGATATCTTTGACACATCAGGAAACCTGCCACAAACTTGTTTTCTTGGGTGTCGGGATGCGATGTCGGGATGCGACTTCGGAAAGGCGATATGTCGGGGAGTGGGTAAGCTTGAAATGGAACTTGCTTCGGTGTTCGGGCGTTTTGATGATCTAACTTATTTTCGAGCCCAAAGCGTATGCTCACTTTACATCGGACAACATTAAAGCGAGATTTTCAGCGAAGTGAATTAGATTAGACGCTAATTTGAAGAAAAACGGAAAGAACTCACAAACTTGAACTCTGGAAACACGTATGCAAAGTCGCCCTTCCAATGGTCAATGACTACAGGGTGACCGGAGAGCTGTCGTGCAGCAACGAATGGTGTCATTGTTTCTTGCACAGATTGCAATGACAAGGAAACCGGTACGAAAAGATTGCGTAGCGCGGGTAACACTTCAGCTGCCCTTTGTCCGGAGAGATTTCGAAGGGCATCGCAAACATGTCGCAAAACTCTAGAGGTGAGATAGAGATCCTTCAGACCCGTGAACAGATCTAGAAGATTCGGCCATCGAGTATCCTCTATGCCGGCTTCCCAGTATGATCGTGAAAAGGCATGAACATAAGCGTCTGCCTCTTCCCTGATCTTGAACACCTCCAGAGTGGAGATGAGCGAGGTGAATGAGCGACAGACCTGGGAGAGAGACGAAAGCTGCCCGTCTAACTCTCCGCAATCGATTTCTAACGCGAACTTCCTGCAGGGATCGACTGCCGCTGTATTGGGGTAAAGATTCAAGTGAACTTTGCCCCTGAGAAGCAACGCCTCTGCGTAATCGATTCTATTGAACACCTCTGCGTGACGGATGAACCGGTGCAGTTGTGGGACGTCAAAGTTGGGGTGCATGAAGAATTCGATGAAGAAGTGGCAGAGACAAGGGGCATCGATTCGGGCCAGAAGGACCTCCAAATACTCAGAATCACCTTTGAATTCGAGTATGGTGAGAGCAGGAAGGACAAAGCGTGTCGGCGGAGGCAGAAATTGGATTTCTGGGTCAGGGCGAGATCGAGGGGAATCGAATCCAAGATGAAGGGCTTCGAGTCTGGTCATCACTGTCAGGGCAGTGGCCATCGCGTCAGGTGAAAAGTACCCAGAATCAGGGATGTCTTGAAGTTTGAGTTCGACGAGGCGATTGGCAGATAAAATTAAAAGTAGTGTCGGCATCGATGGAAATGGAAACCTTCTCAACGTGAGTTGTCGCAGATGTGGAACAGATCCGCCCAAGAACGATTCAGGAAGAACTGGCACCATATGATCACGCGTCCAAACTGTCAGATGTGTCAGGTCCGGGAATGGCTTCTGCATCGCCGCTGCAATTCTTTCCCAGTGCAATCTGGTCAAACCAGTGACGCAAATTTCACAGACGCGCTTTTGGTGCTCTGACTCGAGTGCAGCAACCGTGTTGTCCCACCGCTGGTTCCATTCTCCCCAAAGGCAGTGTGAGATTATTGTTACAGGTACGCCTGGCCAGACGTCCAGCATCTCCGACATAGGCCGATGTCCTTCATACGTGACTCGTAGGTTGAGGTGACGCGGTGACGCAAATACGAGGTATCTCCATCTGCGACATACATGGACGAGTGTATGCCATGATGTTCTCCATGCGCCGGTATTCACGTGGAAAAATACTTCCATGGGCACATCATCGGGGAGCACGTCGATTGTCACCAAGCCTAGTGCGTTGGAAGGGTCAGCGTTTGTTCATTATATCACCAAACTTTCAGATGACATACGTCGAGCTCGTCCTAGACCAGACTCTTCCGAGTACGGGAGGTGTACAGAATGGCCGCTTATCACAAAGCTTTCAGACGAGGACGAGAAATCAATGCGAGTCGACGAGTGGGAGGTGCAAGGCATTAAATAATGGACGAAGCCGGTGAGTAATGGGGGGACTTGACGAAGAAGGACGACTATATGGGACTTGGTCAGTACATCAGGAATGGTGAGAATGGATCTCGCTCGACGTACAGGAGAAAGTTCATCAGTGGGGACGCAACGTCTGAGGGTCAAGTGGTTGTATTGAAAGTACCCGGAGGTGGGTGGGGAACCAGGTGAACGACGACGAAAAGGCGTGTTGAACGCACCTGTACAGGGCAGTTGCCAGGTCGCGTGGGCAAGCCGAACCGCCTCTACCCCTTACCCAATGTACGCCAGAAATGCATGGTCATAATCATGACCCCCAGCTGCAATTGTAAGTATTGTGATACCGCCAGACACTGCCAGTTATAGTTGTAGATAAAACAGCACTGTCTTTTTGGGATTGGCCGAGTCCGAGGGATTTGCAGGTCCTTCTGCATTCAACAGGGCTACTGGGCCAAGAGGTACAACATGCACGGAACTGATTTGGATCACAGGCGAAGAAAGCATGTCATAGAGGACGACACCAGCTTACAGCAAATCGTAACGTGTCAATTAGAAACGAAAAAAAAAAATGCCAACTAGCCGGTTTGAACGACTGACCTCGTCATGCAAATCATGGATCGTCCACATGACCATACAAGTGACGCGCTCTACCACTGAGCTAAGCAGGCCTCGACTGAGCCTGCCCCCTTAATCTCATAGGGGACTATTCGCAATATAGATTTTGTTTGCCTGCTTTGAATTTCAACTTGTCTCTCGACCCTACTACACATAACTGAACAAAGATTTTTTTCTTCTCGCCGTGACCGAGGCCCGTCTGCACCAGAACATACAACGCGCGGCACTCAGGTCTAGGCTCCTTTCCGCCCGAGCGAGTCGTCCACTGAGGGATCGATGTTAGGCCCGCCGTGTGTCCTTGTTTTACTACCACCTGAAAGCGTACTAACTAGGGTTTTCTACATCGCGATGTGCGGCTGGTTCTTCGCGAGTTCGTACTTTGGTATCTGTTCAGTTCTACTCCGAGTTGTCATGCTGTCGAAACATACCATAGCAAGGGCAGATACGCCCCGGCAAAAGATGTACATCTACATTCCCTTTCTACCTCGGCCCCCACCTTCACGCCGAAAGGCACAGTTCTTCTTCCGTATAAGAAGGGTGTTAACTACGGAAGTCGGTGAGCAATAATATAACGTCTGTGTAACCGTGACACTTGAGAAAGGAACAAGTAAAATACCGCGCAGGAAATGATATAATGTGGTATCAGGTGGAGGCGACTGTTAGCTTCTCTTCGAATTATCACATGGCAACGTGAGGTCAAGTCGTTCGACTCCCAGGCGGTCGATTATTTGTCAACACCAATCAAGGAGCTCGATCTCTATCCCGTCCCTAACAACATGACCAACCAGAGGTGTGGCGCACGGCGTCGAAGGCCTGAACAGATCCGGATATGTCAGCATCCATTCTTCACTATAGTCGGTCGAGGCCGCACAAGTGCTGGCGACCTCGTGGAACGCTTCCGAATCCATTCGACACCATATAATTCACGGACGTCACACGAATCTGGTGCCTACTAACACGCTGTGCTGAATGGGGCAAAAAAACATTCCCCGGCATTGCCCTGCCCAGAACACACCATCATGTCTCGGAAACGTAGCGATTGCACTGTCCTTCCGTGATACAGGGCTAGGGGGAAGCGCAGGCGCATTCAAGGGAAACGCAGACCGAAAAGGAAAACTAAACTGATAATGACACCGCTCCAACTTCAACTGAACGTGAACGACAACTTGGGAGCGTGGCGGCGAGACGGTAGCCGGAAGAATGAATTGATCCGGAACGAGGGGAAATGGTTATTGATGACGTCGGTCTCAAGCGCTCCTCAAGAAACAGGCGGGTCCAGTCTATTCGGGCGAAGCTAGCATCGCTTTATGACAAGGATGGGTGAGAGGAAAGCCCAAGAGATTCAAGTCAAAGGACGCATTGGAGGGCTATCCGGCCGAAGCAGTAGCTTCCATGTCAGTCGTTTGTGGATGCATATATAAGACCGCAGCACTAGGGGGCAGATTGGCAAGGCCCGGACCATGGATGGTGGACTGTGACTCAGAGAAGGGCGACAGACCGGAGTATATGGACATGCTTTGACTGGGAAGGCAATGTGACCTTGACTCCAAGTCGGTACACGTCAGACGATATATACGTAGTACCCCGCAAGGTTGTCCTCGAACCACGGGACATCACTAACATGGTTCCTTGTCCATGCTAGTGATCGGAATGGAAGCCGGGAATGGAATGCGGTACAAGCTATGGAGGAGGAGGAGTCCTCATTCGATGGCCGTCGAAACCGAACGATGGACGGACAAGCATGAGGGTCGCGGCCCATTCTCCGCTCCGAGGACGAACTTGCAGTGGTATGCTCAAGTGCACGAGCACGAGCACGAGGCACGCTCGCTCGGCGCTTGGGTGGGCCTAACGAGGCGCGCGCGCGCGTCGTGGCCAAGATTCATTATTGCGTCTTGTTGCTCTCTGTCGCGCTCGGAACATCGCCCCTCAACGATACCTACAAAGTTGCGAGAATGATGGGAATCCATATGAGGATGAGAGGGTTAAAGGTTGAGCCAGGTATCGCACTGATGCTCCCATCTCAAAAGCAGCACGGGCATGACACGCGGGTCGACCAGAAGCGGCCTTGGGTATATGGGGGCCACGTGGAAATGGGCCCAATCGTGACCTTGACCTGCAACTAGTACTTCCCGGAAACCCCACGTGAAGAGGCTCAAGTTGCTTGCGGAGGTGCCACGAGTGGGATATCAGTGAGCCAGTCACTTTGGCCCGGGGCCCGGACTCACCTACATCCAAGTTTTCGGGACGAATGTTTGGTCGATCAGCGTAAGGTAAGGCCTATGAGTTCGGAAGGCGCTGCTTCACGAGAAGGTCGATGGGACCGCAAACTGGCAGTGTCCCCTCACCCCGAGTGTTCAAAGAGCGGGAGCGGGCAGGGATGCTTGGACGACCTGACAAAGCCTTGAAGGAACGATGTTAAGCAGTGGCTGCCGAGTTGCCGAGTTGTTGCATGTAAAGAGGCTCGGATACAGTAGTCTCGATCTCCATCCCTACTAGTAGATCCTCACAATTCTCACAATTCTCTCCGAGGTGTCCCCAAGAAGTCCAATCAATTCTCCCTCTGCGCTCCCGTATCCGGGCCTGCGACCCTCCGAGTCGCCTGGGCGCGCGCAGACTGCGACCTTGCGCCGATAGTGCGAGTCATCAGAGCGCAGGATTCGGTAGGAGGTGGGAGGAGCGCAGCCCTGTACTAGTCCAGGCACACCCGGGGCCAATGATTACTCAGTGCCCATCAGTGATCGCCTCGTGCCAAGCGGGCATCGAAAGCTTATTACAAATTCACACAATTCTGGCATCTCCACTACTGCATGCATTTACCGGGTGGTACTGTATCGAATTCGAATCTTCTCGGGCCCGCCCTCGAGCGAGAGATCCGAAATGCGGTTTGTGGTTACTGTATGACTCCACGGGCTGCTCTCGGTGCTGCGGCCCCTTTCAGTTAGTACATGTTGCAGCCGCAGCCACAAAACGCACACCAAAACGCGCGCAAAAAGTAATGCAGACGCCGGGTGCCCCTCGGATCGGATAGGCTCGGAACGGAACCGAAAGGGGTGCTTCCTTTCGGAGTTTTGAGCTTGATGGAGCCCAAGCCAGTCCAGCCGTCTGTTACATACGTAGAATCTGTGACTCGACTGGAGGGAAGGGGGGATGGGAAGGCAGACGACAGAGAGCGTCGCAGCCACCACCGAGGAAATGATCCCCGGGAGCCGAGAGCCGAGAAAGACGGGGTTTCTCAAAAGTCTCTGTTTGCTTGGCGGGTGATCATGCACATGTACGCACGTCTCACATCTCCGATAACTTACTCTACTTGGGTACAGGGCCTATCCTAGTATATTATCTAGCACTTCCGGCCCCTCTTCGTTCGCAAATCGTTTCTTTCGGGGCCACCTATCCTCCCTACCACCTTATATCCCGACAGGCTGCTGCACGATACAACACGACACAACCTATCCCCCCTCATCGACCATGCCCCTCTTGTCCTTGATCCTGAAACTCCTCGCGGGAGCCGTGACGCTGTTGTCCGCACCGCACTTACTCGAGCGTGTGCTCACGCAACTATGTAAGCGGCCTCCTCCCTCATATCCGTGACGTCCCTCTGATATGTCGTAGCATCGGTGTTGCCATTAGGAGCCGGTATCGCATAGCATAGCAGCATGTGGTCAAGAAGCCTCAAATTGAATAGCGGGCATTCAGAGCGCTTTGCCACATGCGATTCTCTAGGATGAAATCGAACGACCCAATTGACGTCTCGTGACAAAAAAATACACGAGATTGGTCGTCCCAGCGGGCGGGGAGGGGAGGAGCGACACGCAGGAATGGGAATGAATTCGGCATGCGATGTATCAACTATGTGACATTCAGTTATTTGCGGTCAACGTATGCACCCCTAGCTAATGCGCAGCGCGGTTATGTGTTCGAATTTTAAAAATGGTGGTTTTCAGTTCATTCGTTTTGGCTGGTTCTTACACACGATATTGAGAGAGAGAAATCCTGCCCTGCCTGGACACATTCCTATGCAGTCCATACGCGGCGGATGAGCTCCGTGAGGCCTAGACCGGGAAACCGAACAGAGTTGATCAGTTGAACGGATGTGCAGTTGTCTCGCAGCAACAAACCCACGCACCGATATCGTTCGTGTTGAATTGGTACACGCCCACGCCCACAGCAAGCGACGTCACGCGCAGCGTCCAAGTGAGAATCGGGCCGAGGGTGGGGAACTTGCGCTTGTGGACGTAATCCACCAGGATGGTGTCAAACTGGGGATTTCCCGGTCAAGGCATGGATATGAATAGGGTAGGATAAGCGTGAGTGTACATGGGTTAAGTTGAGCAGGGGAAGTGGGGGGAGGGGGAACGCACCCCGATGTGGCTGTGAACGATGAGGCTGATGCCGAGCAGGCCGTCGAGGAGCGGCGCGGGCGAGCCGGACGTCACGAACGCTGCGGCCGTGAGCGGGACCAGGCTGGCGGAGAGCAGTCGCTCGAAGGTCCAGTGGTGCGACCCGGCCGACTTTTTCGCCGGCGGGAAGGTCGTCGGGTCGTTCACGGTGCCCTTGTAGATCGCTACCAAACCAAAGCGTCAGTACTCCGCGCTACCGACCGACGAACGGGGGTAGTTCGAGGGCAGGGAAAGGGGGAGGACGTACGACCACCGGGAACGTAGGCAAAGTTGGATGTTGAACGGCGGGCTGCTATTAGCGTGTGTGTGTGCGTTTAGAAGTGCGGTAGATGTGTGCAGGGCGTGTGGGTCAAACGAAGAAAGTACGCCTGTCATGTGAGAGATAGTGGGCGCATGCGGACGACGACGTACCGAGTTGCAGGGGGATGATGAGAGGGCGCTTGGCTGCCGTCAGAGAGTGGCGCAGAACGACGCTAGAAGCCATTTCTATGGCAAGAACACGGGGCGGGCTTGGTGGCGGAGGAGTCGGCGTTGGTGGTTGACGTCGCCGTCGTCGTTGATGGGCTTCAGTTCGCTCTCGGGCGTCTACGGCCCGCCAATCACGTGCACTCCAACGCATTCAGTTGCACGTTACGCCTCACGCCCTGCCCTTGAAT